TCAGTCTGTATGCAAACCACACAGACCCCGAAAACAAACGGACAAAAAGCCCCTACCTTCAGTAGCAGGGAAAGCCGCCACTGTAGTGTCGGAAACTGTTTCTGGGGTAGAGGGGATAAACTGAGACCAACTGGGAACTGTCTGGGGAAAAAGACTCCGAAGAAACAGAAGGGACATAATCCTCCCCAGAAAATATGTGACCTGAAAAAGCTGCTAGAATTTGAGGCAGATTCGGGGGGAGGAAGAAAGCCCCTACTTCCAAAGGCAGCTAGCAGAGGAACAGAGCCGCAGACAGATACCTGAAGCTCTGCATCTGGGGGGGATGGAACAAGCAAAATGAGAATAAAATTAGTGGGAGAAAATCTCTCTGAAGGAGCTATGGAAAAGCTGTTGTACATGATCTTGTTTTTCACTGACTGGCTAAGACAAACACAAGCCCGAGGAAAGTTGCTATCAGAAATGCCAGCCTCAATGCACGCTAAGGAGGCAAGTGCAGTTCTAATTTGGGGGCCAGTGTCTGATGAAGGAAAAACACCTGTTAAAGCCAGTTGAGAGAATAGAAATCTCCCAACGTGCCATAGCTGAAAATGTAAAATGCTTGTTCAAATCTCCTGTTGCAAAAGCAAAAAAACTTTGTTCAAATCTCCCGGGCAAGAATTTGTAAGCAAGTCTGGTAAAAGAACCAGTTGACTCTCAGACCCAAAAAGAACTATGGGAAATGACTGATATAAGGGAAATGATATAAAGGACTGATATAAGGTACTGATACTATTATGGACTGATAAGGGAAATGCATTCTGGGAAAGGTAGTTTTTCCGCTAAAGATGGCAACATTGCCTTGAAACACTTTTGTCAGCTCGAAAATACGTTCATGGTAAACTTAAAATACAGCTTTTAAAAGAATAAGGAGGAAAATCATCTAAGAGTTTAAGTGTCAGTTCCAATGAAAAATTGAAAGGATACGGAACTAGGTGCTTCGCGGTTTGGGGCTCCTTGGTAAAATGCCGTATTTACCCTAATAGTTGTGCAAATTTTTGCAGTAGTTGGATGACAAAAAGCTACCTTTAAGAGCAAACAAGCCACTTTAAAATCCTTAAGAAAGCAAGAGAGCAGTTTATACACTGAACGTTGTCTTAGATATGAAGAAACTTATGTTGAAATTAAAAAAGTTCTTTGCCTTTTGAACAAACTGCCTGCAATGAGTCATTCCTTTGCAAATCTAATTAAGGAGACAAGGAAACAGGCATTCAAAAAGAAATGACTGCTTTATAGACTTGAACAAACTTCAGAAAATCTATCTCTTACAAAAGAGTTGCTTCACCTGAAAGTTCCTTATAAGAAATCAATGCTAAGTATTACAGCTGCTAATAACATCAGTAGTTAAAGCTAATAAAATGAAAATGCTAAATCCTGAAAATGCTTTTTCTCAAAGTAAGCTAATGAAGGATATGTTTCATGAAAGAACATCTATGTTCTTAACTCTTTTGAATAGTAACAGTTTTGGTAAAAATACTGGAACTAACAACAATTCAGTCAAAATGTTTCAACAAATCCAAGACGCTATTCCACAAAAGAAAGCTGCCATGCTTTGTGGGCCATATTAGAGCTCACTCCAATCTTCCTGGTCCTTTAGCTGAGAGTAATGCGAAATGGAAAGATCCCTGCTCGGGATTATGGAAGGGTCCCAATCCTGTGTTAATATAGGGTTGAGGACATGTTTGAGAGGAGAATGATGCTCGGTTACCGGAGCGTTTCCCTAAGGAGCGTGGAACTAAGAAAGGTCAGCTCCAATGATGTTTCTATAAAGAAACCAGAAGGAAAGTGGCTCGATCAGTGTTTCTGAGGTTTTGTCACTGGTTAATGCAAACAGTGAGGAAACAGAGTTCGGAGCTGTGCCACTTTTGGCTTTACTAGCTCCTTTGGAAAAATACTTTATATCACCTAATAGCTGTGCAGTATTTGGCGAAGAGCTTTACAGCAGCTAAATACGGTAATTTCACCCTCAGTGTGAAGTGAAGTTTTTCCTTAGAACAAACCAAAAGTACTGCTGTAATAGAAACGTTTGTCTGAATTGAAGCACTTAGGGGAACTACTATGAATTTGGGTGAATGGACAGCCTCTAGTTAAAAAACCGTTTACTGCTGACAGTGCATCATCTCTGCCAGTTCGGAAAGGCTGAGAGAACTCGGCAACTTTGGAGTGTGGTGTCATCCTGGGAAGGTTACAGTCCCCTAGCAACAACTATCACAATTCTATAACAACAACACTCACTAAATCCCAGTGTTTTATAGCAAAGCTGACTATAAACTCTAAACTTTAGAAATGACGTACGTACTTCATGTCTAGTTAAGAAAAATCTTTCTAATAGAGATAGTGATAATTAAGAGTAAGAAATAGAAAAGGATGAAAATAAGATATGCGAGTTTGAAGAAATTCTGTCTTGTTAGATCTGTGTTAAGAAATCTTTAGGTGTTTGCGAAGTTAAACGTATGCTAATAGTAGCCCTATATAAGTTTGTAAAATAGATCTATAGATCCTTTAAGAATATAGGCTTGCAAGAAGTATCTAAGGTAGTCTTAAGACATGTAGTAATAAGCTTGTAAGAAGTAAAGATGTTAGTTGTAAATGTAAGTTTAAATAAGAAATAAGATGAAATGAATATAAGTAGTATATAAGAAGTAATAAGACATATATTTGCTAAAGTAGTTCTATAGTTTCCTTAAGGAGTATAAATAAGTAGATGTTAATACGTTATATGTGAGTTTGTACAATGTAAATGTTGAATGTGAGTCTAAATGCTTTGCAAGGCAAAAAATGTTAAGAGTGAGTCTATTCTTAATGTATATGGTTGAAAGAACCTGAGACACAGAAGGTAGTGTCACAGTAGACTGCAAAGTAGGCAGTCTGAATGTTTTAAAAAGCTCCAGAAACTGCTAAGAAGAATGGCAGACGCCAGAACCAGCACAACAAGGCATCCGCAGCTGAGATCCTTGGAAAATCGACCCAACACAGAAAAACCTGAGCTAACATCAAAAAACGGTGCGGTTTAGAATACTACTGTACCTAAAAAGGTCTCTGGCTTAAGAATAAGTTCAGAGACGCTTGTTTGAACAAAAATTGTTAACTGCAAAAAGTTTTGGTTGAAAAACGTCTCTTCATATTTTGAAGTGAAAGCCTAATACAAGAATTTATTTGTTTGAACTTTTTGAACTTAAAATGTGATAAAACTACAAAAACATTTTGGTTATGGATTTCTTCATATTTGGAAGGCTCGTACCAGAATTTATCATTTGAATTTTGGGACTTAAGAAATGAAATGAACAGTAGAGATTTCATTGCAATGGGACAATTTTGAGTTTACTTATAGTAATGACCTAGGAACTGTTTTCTGGAATTGGGTTAAAAATGGAACTGTTTATGTAAAAATGAAATTACTTACAAAACTGGTTTTGTGTTACAAATGGAACTGTTTAAATGGAAAAGTTTGGGTTTTCTAACTAGGATTGAGATTTTGCTTAAATTATAAAGAAAAGGGGGAGAGTTAATATTCCTTAGTCTAATTTCAAAAGTTGTTTGAGTGGATTAATGTCATGTTTTTGTTAGTAAGAAATGCAAATGGGGTATATTAAGAGACTACTTTTAAAGTGTAAAGAGTTTTATTAAGAAACTGCTTTTGGATGATTTGCTAAGTTTTCAAAGTGTTAATGGTTAGATTGAGAAGATTGCTTTTCAATATGGTTTTGTAGGAATTGTATGAGTTTGGGTTCCTCTAACTAGGTTTGGGATTTTGTTTAAAAAATTATAAAGAAAAGGAGGAGTTCTGAGATTGAATTATGTTTGCAGAAATTATATTTACCCTATTGATATTAATGCACCCTGGTTTTGCGGAGTTAAGGAAATATTTAAGTTTATGAATACATCAGAAGTTTTCCTATGTTCTGTTAGCAAGAAAATTCAAATGATTGAGTTAAAGTTGTAAGACGGAGAAAATTGCTAAATATATATAGCACCATATATGCTAATTCAAATGGTTCTGTTAAGAGTTTGCTTTGAGTTATAAGATTGAGAGAATTGTGACTATGTATAGCAATATTTATGTTAACCTGTTAATGGTAATGATGAAGCTAAGGGATTCTTTAAGTTTGTAGTCTCCTTAAGAGTTTTTGGTTTAGAAAGGGCTTGAGGCAGCTAAGACTGCTGTAGAAACCTTGGACCTAATTCAAAAGAGAAATGCCATCTATATCATCCTCTACTCCCATATTGGGAGGTGTAACAGCTATGGAGATTGCTGTAACCCATTAATAATTTTTTTTTATATATTAAGAAAGGGGGACCTGTGGGAGCCCGTTCTCAGGTTCCTCGTGGCTTTACCCAGCAGGTCCGCATAGAGGATGATTAGACCACGGGCCTAAGTGCAGGTGTCTGGGATGGTCTGCACTTGGCTGTGCTGGGGGAGGAGGTCTTTTGCTCCACCCCTTGGCGTCTCTATAAAAACCCTGGGGTAGAGACAGTCAGGGCCCCTTGGAATAGGTTCCAGGCCCTCTCGAGGCTATCCTTTATTTTCTATCTGTTTATCTCCGTGATATTCTCTGCAATAAATCCTTCTATCTAATATTTCCTGCTGCTCGCACTCAAGAAAACTCTGGGGAACTGTGGGGGTGGTTGGGTAAACGCCCCACAGTTAATTATATGAAAACAGAAAATAGTGACTTTATATTTCTTACTTCTTTTTCAGTACAGCTAAAGCACATCTTTATCATGTACTTTGCAACAGTATAAAGGTAAAATAGTAATAAAATGAAAACTAAAATAATATAGAAATGTGACTGTTTAAATACTAAGAACACAAACAGGAAAAAAGGGAGTTATACAGGGCTTCTTGAGTATTGGGGAAAAAACCAAAACAAAAGAGGAAGAGAAAGCAACACAGAAGAAGAGAAATATTAAGAGAGTTAATCAAGAAAATATGCACAAAAGTAGTCCAGTCATCCAGAAAATACCTTTGTTCAGAAGAAGAAAAAAGTCAGATGCCTTTTCTCGGAAAACCCTTTGGGCATCTTCGGCTTTCATTGACACTTCCTTTGTCTGCACCAGGCAAAACCCTTTCCCAACCATCTGTGGAGAATAAAATTTCATTCAGATTTTAAAATGAACCTCTGAGATGAAAGCAAGGTTTTGTCACTTGAGCATTTTTCTGTATATAATGCAACACAGCATTCTGATTTTTGTTTTAGTTCTGAGTAATTCACACTCTGCTGTTGTTTCTTTACAACTACTAAACAGAAGCTTAATTTGATGATACAGTAAATGTTCAATGAAAAATACCATAGTTCATTACAATTAACATATTTTGTTAAATATAATAAAGATGTTAAAATAAAATGAAAAATACTCCTAATTTTAATTTTTAAAACCATCACAGCAATTTGTATAGTATAGTGCAAGAATGATAGACCACCTGTATGAGAGCATTTACTATGTACATGAAGTTTTCTGAATGTTATGTAATATATATATATATATATATATATATATATATATATATATATATTACACATTTAACCTTTCATGAGATGGGTACTACTACCATATTCCTTGTAGACATGAGACAGCTAAGATATGACATGGTTAAGAACTTTCCCAAGGTCATATAACTATTAGTCAACAGAGCTTTGATTTTAATTCAAGTTAATGTGATAGTGGATTAAAGAATTCTTTTTCAGGCTAGGTGGTGGTGGTGGCTGTTGTTTGATCCCAGCACTCAGGAGGCACAGGTAAGAAGATCTCTGAGTTCAAGGCCAGCCTGGTATACAGAGCGAGTTCCAGGACAGCCAGACCTACACAGAGAAACCATGTCTGAAAAAAAAATAAAATGGAGAATTCTTTTTAAAAAAAAATCAGTTGCCTACATATCTTTATAAATTTGTATTTACTTGATTGCAGACATTTTACAATTTATTCTATAAAATCAGTGGTAACAGCTCATAATATTTCATGCTATGGTTATATTATTGAATATCATATCATCAAATTGAATGAAACTCAAATCCTATTTCAGAATTCTCACTCAGTGCTCCCTCAGACAAGAAGATACATTAAAAATTATGAGAAACTCTATGGACATTATTGCTGGACGGTAACTGTAAAGACTTAAAATATCAGAATCAATCTCACCAGTGTTTCTAATTTTATAGACAGATATAAACTAAAAAAATTATGCTTAAATGGCCAAGCATATTGGTTCATGCTATAATCCTAGTGCTCAAGAGGTTAAGGCAGGAGGATCAAAAATTCAAGGCCATCTTTGGCTACATACCCAGCTCAAGGCCAACACAAGCTGCATAAGACATTTTCTCAAAAAAAAAGAGATTAATTGAAAATACCATTATCTAAAACAAAACATGAACTATGAAGCTGTATCTACCTTAATATTTTCACTGAAGATGTTTAGAGACTCTTTTACATGAAAATCATATTTCTGGACTTTTAAATTGTGGTGACTAACCAATTTCAATTATAAAATATACTTAATTCAAGCCTTGTTTACTCTAATTTATCCCAGAAATATATGTGATTCATATAAAAGCAAGCAAGTCTAAGCTGTCCTAACATTGTTGTACTGTGAGAAAAACTTAACTTTTATTTTTTTCAGAACTAACTAGTTTCTTTGTTAACTCAAGTATTATTTAAAATAATATATAATCTCTCAACATAACATTTATGTCTGTTCCTTTTCCTAGCATGATGGATTGAGTCATGATGTGATGAAGACCCTCAGTGTGTTAGTTGGGCTCCTTATGCCTTTTGTATTCATTAATGGTTTTGAGGATGCATGGAGTAAACTCACTGAAAACTCAATCACATATGAACCAATGAATTCAAATATCATTGGTCACTTGCCAATATTATGCTATATACAAAGAAATTTTACACACTCCTTGTGAGGAAAAAAGCAAAAGAAAATAACACCCATGGAACTTTTCAGAAAATCAATAGAAAAAGAAAAATCAAATTCACATCAAATGGAAAACTCTGGGACCCATGTGCATTTTACCCTTTCCAATTAAACATAGGCATTACCTATGAATTCTCTGGAGAGGGAAGTTGACTAACTTAACTATGAGACTGTGGCTGCCTGTGAAGTGCACTGCCTGTGGGAATCATCTTTAACCTATTCCAAAGTTATCATCTTAAGTGAAGAAAATGCTTTGTGGCCCATACTTACAAACTTTTTAGGTGGGAAGGTGGAAGGAACTTTCCTCTATTTTAAATCTTTAGTGTCATTTTTTTAAAAACAATAAAGTTTTACAACTAAAAATGTGTTGGTATTTTATTATTCAGCATGCTTTGATACTCTCAATATGTAATTTTCATTTTCAATTTCTTTCTTTTGCACTCTCTTCCTTTTTTTCTTTTTGTGTGAACCAATTAGTTTATTGGGCTTACTTACAGAGCATAAGTGAGGCATTACAGGAACACTGGTGACCTCTAAACAACTTCATTTTAAATCATTTATTCCTTCATTTTGTGCTTTCAGAACTAGACAATACTAACCAAAGCATCTTTAGTTTAGAAGTCCCCTGACTCAACAAGCTTTGGGTCACATTGCCACACCAAGCATCCATCAGCTTTCTTTCAGCACTGGGACAGCAATACAGCTTTATGTTTAAGGGTTAATACTCAGGAAGACTATCAGCCTGCATGGATGAATCACAGCTTTGCTGTTTACCAGCTAGCTAAGTGACCTTTGCCAAGTTACTTACCCTGTCTGTGGTTCACAGGGTTGTTTTGAACAACCTTTAATTCATGTGACTCCTTTTTAACAGTGCCTGACATATACCTAACATTATGTAAGATTAAGCTACTATTAGTAGTAGTAGTGTAGGATTTTCATTTTGCATTCCAGAAGGATATTTAAAGAATATCACTCTTCTAAGTCATAATCTTGTGAAGGCCATTTCACACATCAGATACCAAAAGTCAAAGGGTTCAGAACATTGATGACTCACGAAGACTGTGCTGATGGCTTTTTTTCTTTAAACATGTTAAAATATCTGTGTGTTGACTCCTGATTATCTACCAAAATGGAGTTTAACTTGAATGATTAATGTTCTGAAAATTATATGTAATAAAAATTCACCATACAAAAGAAATTTGCCATACAACATAATGAAGATATTTACTTCTCAGATGTTGAATTAACATGTGACTAGATAGTGCAAAGGCTACAAGCATATTTTTCTACATCTTACAAAACTTACAGCATGCTTCTTATCATACTGGCATAACAAAAGAAAACATCAACATCTTAAGCCAGACACAATGGCTTAAGCCACTGGGATGCAGAGGCAGGAGGATTGATGGAAGTTCAAGACACAGTCCTGCTCTACATAGTAAGTTTTAGGTTAGGCAGGGCTACACAGAGAGACCCTGAATTTTAAAAAAAAAAGAGAAAAGAAAAAAGAAAATATCAAAATTATACTTCAGCTTCTATAGTTTTAAAAGCTGTACCTCAAAATATACTTTGTAGATGTCAGACATGGGTTCTTCACATTACAGATGTATACCTACAGGGAGGTATTCCTTTTTACTTCTTGTCAACACCATCACTCCTTTTGGTATGCTTCAACTTTAAAACAATCCGTTTAGAAAGAAACTTACGTATCTACCTCTGGAAGCTTGAATTTGAAGTTCAAACAGATTCCTACTGGATAAATTCTGTTCAATACATCTTCCTACTGTTGCACCTACCAACAAAGGAACTACTGCTTCTGGAGCCTTAACTTCTCCCTCCTCAAATGCTTTGAGGAGAAGCTGCTATGCATTTACTCTTCTCTACTTAATGAACTCACTGAAAGCCACCACTCAAAAGTCTTGGAGATTTTGCCATTCCAATTCCCATCTTATTCATATTATTTGTATATCCCAGCCTCCTACCAATGGTGATGGGGCAATAAAAAATAAGGAGCCCAATGTGGATGACAGTGTCAAAGCAGGGTCTAAAAGTTGTATTCTTAAATGTCATTTCCAACATCTAGCCAATTAAAACTCCAAAGAAATTTTCTCAGTAAATCTTTAGAAAAGGCCATGTTTCAATATGCAGTACTATTGTGAGCATGTGTGGAAATTGTTTATGATGAAGAATGGAAATTCTTTGAGGCAAAAAATTGTATCTGTATGCCTTAATTTCCAGCATCACCTACATTCTATTATTTCTAAGTTGCAACTAATTACAAGGTATTTCAGCAAAGATGTGGAAAACAAACACGCATCACATAATGAATGAAATATGGTAACAGCATAACTTGCACATAATTGGTGCTAATGAATGCTTACTAAATTGAATTAGATTAAAAAGTTGTCTTGAGAAAGGAGTTTGAGGCCCAAGGGATCTGCTTCTAAGGATTTGGGGGACTATACCTTGAGGGTTGCCAGTATTTCTAATAATTTGTAAATAATAACAATAAAACCTAGAAATTCTCCAAAGCAGCATGGTCCTATCTGTCTATTTCTCTTCTTTTTCTCCTTACCTCATCAATTAGTTTCCTGGCATTTGCAGTTGTATAATCATCAGCAAATAATACCACTAGGCATGACTCATCACTGCTCTTCTGTCTCTGACCCTTGGATATGGGAACAATGCTTCTATTGGCTTCTGTGGAAATTCGTACAGCTTTGAATTCTTCAGTAGCTGGAATAGGAACATAGTCCTGAATCACAGCATTTTCTGGAAGAAGGCTCCAGTTGAGCTCTCCTGATACAGGTGTAAAATCATGAACGTGACTCCATATGTTATTGAAGATACTGAGCCCTGCATCTTTGAATTGGGCTGCTAATTCAGGGTAGTACCACTGAAAACAGCCAAACTTGATATTTGTGGAAGATTCAATAATAGGTTGAGTGGCACAGCACAGAAAGACTTCCAACTTTCTACAGTCCCTCACACGAAATTGTTGGCAAGCTAATGTACACTTGCAATCCCTACAATTTCGGAAAAACACGCTGCCTTTCACTGGTCCCAAAAAAAGTATGCAGTTGGTGCAGTCATCAATGGTAATGGTAGCTGAGTGATCAAAAATATAGATGTTACAGTTCTCACAGTCTTGAATGACAAATTGTTGTCCTGCCACTTTTCCAGGTAATCGACCTACTGTTTCATCCTTCAGTCCACTGAACATGTAATCTTTCGGATCAACCTGCAGGGACAAAGCACAAGGCCTTGAGTATTGTTAACAGTATTCACCAAAACCAAATAAGTGCCTATGGGATGCCAGATACCGTTGTTAATGCTAAAACTTAGGTTCCCAATTTCATTGACTTTGCAGTAAATTAGAAAATGAATAGGACAGACATATCTTTTTTTTCCAGTAAATAAAAAAGGAGGGAGGAAAGGGGAAAGGAACCCAAATTTCAAGGACACAATCACCAAGTGCTTGGATCTTGTTCCAACCATTTCAATTGTAAATATGGGTTTTTGGCAACTGGGGATATTCATGCACATACACAAAGCCTATAACCTCAAGGACTTCTTTTTTTTTCATTTTCTAAGTGTGATAACAACACTGCAATTACAAGAGGGGTGAATTTACAATTTTAAATAATATAAAGTTTATAACCTTGGTTAATATATATCTACCTCTCAAGAAATGGAGCCACTCTTTCTGCTATCAAATTTCTTTTCTTTTTTTTTACTTTATTAAAATACTGAGTTTATTTCACATGTATATTTGTCTCCCTATCATTTCCACATCTGACCACCACTATTACTATGTCCTATCATAACATTCCATACATACTTAAAACCAAGTAAAGGGTGGAGTTCCATCCTTGAAAACTAAACAGGCATTTTAGACAACACATTCTTGGCAATGGAACCTGGACAACATTTATCAAACACAGTAGGGAAAGTTCTCACTTTGCATTATAAAAAGGACAGCCTGTTTATATCAACTGTTACAGAAATTAAGTAAGACGGAATTATTTCAAACTGTTTAAACCATTTTCTTAAAGAGACTTTCTCTACTGCCAGAGATCTTAAATAGCCTCCTGGTCAGTCATCCGGAAGCAATTCTTCACATAATTAATGAATTTGGCTTCCACTTTGGGAAGAGAACCACTTTTTTCTATACTTGCTTGCATTTTTGCCTTAATGTCGTCTACAGAACTAGGTCCTTTTGGTGTTTTAGGAGTTTTTTCCTGTTTTTTGAAAGACTCTTGACCCTTTGATCTTGGTGTTGATGGTTTTCAGTCTTTTCCATTTTGGTTTGATTTTTGTGCATTTTTGGCTGGGGTATCTCGTGCAGATTACTTCACTGGAACTTTTTCTTCAGCTTCCTCATCATCAAAATCATCATCATCATCATCCTCATCATCTTCATCGTCATCCTCATCATCCTCGTCAAGTTTTACTTTTTTCTGCGGAACCTTGTTACCACCTCCAGGAGCAGATCGTTTTCCAGACATACTTAAGAGTTTTACATCCTCCTCATCTACATCTTCTGACTCTGCATCTTCCTCTACAGCTACTAGGTGCTGTCCACTAATGTGCACAGGCCCTGAACCACACTTCAACCTTAAGACCACAGGTCGTGTAATTTCAAAGCCCCCAAGAGAAACTGTTGGTTGTACAGACATTTTCAAAGTTGCCAGTGTTACTTTAATTGGACTGCCTTCATAGTTCATTGCTTCTGCCTCTACGATGTGTAATTCGTCTTTTGCCCCTGCCCCTAAACTAACCATTCTTAGTGATAACTGGTGCTCATTCTCATCATTATCCACCTTAAAGTGATAATCCTTGTCAGCTTTTAGTTCACAACCGAAAAGGTAGTTCTGAGGCCTGAGAGGGCTCATGTCCATGTCCATCGAGTCTTCCACGAGGTGGAGGCGCGCACTTCAGTGTGAGAGAAGTCGGACGGAGGAAACTGCCTACTGCTCCTCAGAACAGACACGCAGGACGGAATCATGCCAGGCCTGCTATCAAATTTCATGCCTGGGCATGCAAAGTTAAAAGGAAGCCTGCGCGACACTATGATTTGGGTCTTCCTGTGAGTTAACCCAGGTGATGTATCATCATTGCTACTATCAACAGTCTTTCAGTTTATTTGGAATCTGTATAACCACAAAATTAGTATGGAGTGCAAGGGTAAAGAATATATTTTTAAAACAATTATTCTAACAGAGTAGCTATGTAAGTCAGACATGGGGGTACACATCTGCAATCCCAGCACTTGGGAAGCTGAGGTAAGAAGATTACTAGGAACTCAAGTCCAGCCAGGGCTACAGAGCAAGAATCTGTTGCAAAAACATTGCTAGGAAAGTAAAGCTTATGTCCTCTGCATCTATACTAATCAGAACATACTATTTCAGGCTGGAATGTAGCTCAGTATTAAAACATGTGTTTAGAATGTACAAGGCCTTGGGTGCAGCCCTGTAACTGAAAATTAAACATTAAAAAATAAAGATACGGGAGGACAAGGGAATCTGTGGTTGGTATGTAAAATGAATAGAAACTCTCTTAATTAAAAAAAAAATAAAGATACATACTATTTCAGCTTTCTGGTGATTTGCTTTTCCTGATGCTTCAATTTTTAAAACTTCAATTTCTTAAAAAACATCTTAAATTGAATATATTTTTTTTACCCTACTACAAAATAATATTTGAGTGTAAGTTTCAAAACCCTAACTGAAATTTTCATGCACTACAAACAATGGAAGAATATAAGGACACAAAAAACCTTGATATGTTGGCACTTAAATCTACAAATTTCATTTATTTATTTATTTATTTATTTTTATTTACTTATTTTTTTTGTTTTTCAAGACAGGGTTTCTCTGTGTAGCTTTGCGCCTTTCCTGGATCTTGCTCTGTAGACCAGGCTGGCCTTGAACTCACAGAGATCCACCTGGCTCTGCCTCCTGAGTGCTGGGATTAAAGATGTGTGCCACCGAGGCCGGCTAAATCTACAAATTTTAATCAGACATTGACTAAGATATTCATCCAGTGTAACTTTTCAAATTTTGCCCTCCTATTAGATATTATAAACTATGCCTCACACAATCTTTTTTTTCTTTATTTTATAATTTAATTTTACATATCAGCCACGGATTCCCCTGTCCTCCCTCCTCCCGACACCTCTCCCCAACCCACCCCCCATTCCCATCTCCTCCAGGGCAAGGACTCCCCTGGGGATTCAGCTCAACCTGGTAGATTCGGTCCAGGCAGGTCCAGTCTCCTCCTCCCAGGCTGAGCAAAGAGTCCCTGCATAGGCCCCAGGTTCCAAACAGCCAGCTCATGCACTAAACTAGTGGAAACACATGAACCAATAGCTGAGGAGCCCCCAACTGGATCAGGCCCTCTGGATAAGTGAGACAGTTGATTAGCTTGAACTGTTTGGGAGGCCCCCAGGCAGTGGGACCGGGGCCTGTCCTCACACAATCTTTTAAGTAGTATGCCTAAAATATGTCACATTATTTTTTAACTGTGCTACCAAAATATAGTCAAAGGCTAGAAATATAACTCAGTGATAGTGTGCTCAGCATGCCTGAGGTTCTGAGTCTAATCTGCAGCACATATTTCCAACACACAGATACACACACACAAAAGACACAGACAGACAGACAGACACACACACACACACACACACACCAGAGAGAGAGAGAGAGAGAGAGAGAGAGAGAGAGAGAGAGAGAGAGAGAGAGAGAGAGAGAGAGAGAAAGGGAGAAAGGGAGGGAGTGTATTAATAAAAGGCCAGTCTGACAGTTGAAAATATATTACCTTTTAATCTATTGAAACTATTTTAACTGCCTATGCATATAAATATTTCATGCAAAACTATATACTAGAAGCATGTTCTGATAAATACAGTACATATATTGTTTATTTACAAAGTAACATGTAAGCATGTTAATTGTCGCTAAACTAGCTTAAAGTGACTTATTCCATTAAACACAATATTATATTTATCCAATTTTACATAATGTCCTAGGATGAACAATGGTCTATAGCATGAGGCAATAAGAAGTACTTATTTTCTAGCCTCAATTTTGTCACCTATGAACAACATAATCTTGAAAATGTCACTTTACCTTTCTGGATCTTCAGTCACTCAACCAACATTTGAATACCCAAAATGAACCAGACACTATTTTAGGCACTAAAAGGGAAGTGACATATACCTAAATAGACCATTTAAACAACCTGACCATGTAATGAGAGGTGCTGAGAATAATTTAGAAATACAGAGGAGAGACACATAGGGGACAACTCAAGACTTACTGTACAGAGTGAGAACGAATAAGTTGGAGTTTACTGGAAAGATTGGGAAAGAAAGACCATAAAGACAAAGGTAACATATTGAACAAGGTAAAATTCTTCAGTTACCAGGAAGAAAATGGAAGGGGGCCTGGTATTACTAGAGATACTAGAGTAGTAGTAGATGAAACTAGAGGATTAGGCAGGGGTCCTGGTATAAAGTTTGGAAGCTACAGACAACAGAAGCCATTAAACAATTTAAACATGGTAAATATACATTTCAGAAAGATTAGTAAGAATATGGAAATATGGAGTGTGAATCTGAGAGGCTTAGTCAGAAAGGGCTGAAGTAGTTAGAAGGGAAGAGAGGGATGGGATAAATTTGAGAAATGTTGAGGAAATAGAATCAGCAGATGTGTGAAGCAGGAAGGTTGTCAATTTGAGGCCAGCTTGGGCTATACAATGAGACCCTACCCAAACCAACCAAACAAACAAATAAAACGAACGGAAGACAAACATATCTAAGGAGAAGAGGCTCAGTTGTACAGCACTTACCTAACATCCACAAGGCCCTTGGTTGTATCCCTAGCACTTCCAAATGAAGTAAACTAAAATATAAAATAAAATCTAAGGAATATTTTATAATACTACTACTCTCAATTACTTATAGGTAAAAAAAAATCCCCAAATTAAAATCTAGAAATGCAGGATTGGAGGGATGGCTTAGTTGGTAAAGCCATACACACACATATGGACATGAAATAAATAGGCTGTTGCAGGAGAATATCCAGGTCCAGACTATATTAAATAGCAAGATCCTACCTCAAACAGGAAAAACAAAACAATCCATGTACCAGAACGCAAAAGGGCCTCAGAGGGGGAAAAAGGATAATTCTAGCACAGGGACCTGAGCTCAACCCCCAGCAGTTATATAAAAAGTTGGGT